CCCTCTCCTCCCCACCCCCTACCCAGCCCCACTAATATATGAGGATTTGGCACGACTCATTAGCACAATTTGCCCATGCCACTCGAAAGCAGCCACTGTTTTACACAGAGATGCAATTCCCTCCCCACGCCCTTCACAGTTCGTATATGTCCACCTCCCTCCCACGCAATCCTGGATCTGCACAACAAATGCCGCAGATGGTCGGCATGGCAACGACTGGCGACCTCCCGTTCAGGCAATCCTCCATATCGGCGGGCGGCACCTCAAGACCGCGGAAAGGCATCAAACATAGGCACGCCCTTTCACCACCCCACTTGAATGTAGCTGCGTCATCGCCTGAGTCCGCCAAAACTGCGCAAACAAAAAAAATGCAAGAAAAAAAAAGGACGAACAAACGAAAAAGCTTCAGCTTGCGATGCCTAAGAGCCTGAGAGAACCACCATATGATCTACGCTCAAACACGTCCCCACCAATTCTGATGCGTCTGGAAGGGCACATGAGTGTCAAGATGTGTGCGGTGCAATTTTGACGCATTTGCAAATACCATGAAATGGACATTCGTGGCAGTGCGTGAGCTGTGCCGTGGATACCAGTTGCAAAGACATTGATGTCTTGTTTTGCTGCAGTGAAACATTCTGCTTTTGTGTCCCAGTGTCGGCAACTTCGTCACAGTGCTTCAAGCAGCGCCCGTGCCCCTTGCATCTCTCACCCACGCCTGCCGTCGTGCCGCCCGTAGGAGCGCAATACGGGCTAGATCGCCAGGCGGTTGGGGTGAACAAACGGGTTGTGGAAAGGGCGACAGGCGTGTCGCACTTTCCATAAACCGTTTGTTCACCCCAACCGCCCGGTGATCTAGCCTGTATTCCCTGAACACCCGCAGTAGATTTACCACCGCAGTACGTGTACATTGTACTGCCATTCGCGCGCGCTCCTCGACTGCCATATCGATATGGTTATCGCGATATTGTAGAATTTTATGGCATCATGCCCACGGGGCTTTCGAATATTTCGATGCCAGCGACCGCCACGACACAAGGTGCGAATCGGAGCAGATAGCGACGGACGGGCCCCACTGGCCCCTTGAACACTGTTGCTGGAAAGTATGGCGCAAACCTCAATGTCTTATTGTACTTAGTTGCGCTGGAGCTGCGTGTCGTGTACTACCCCTATTTACCTGGTATTAGTAGGCGTGTATTTGACCCCCAAAATGAGCGGTGGATACTAATAGTGGGTCATGCATACTAATGGAGTTTGGAACCCCTGATCCCAAGGAGTAGATAAGAGAATTGTTGACAAAACAGGCCGTGAAATGCCCAAAACTGAGCAAAAATGACAATGCTATTACTTAGTGTTGTCAGCCTCTTCACGGGAGTCGGCGTCCTTAACTTGGGGCTGCACCAGGTGGGGGTGACTGGCGATTGGGGCCAACAGGGTTTGGACGGAATGCTCGAGGCACGTTTGCCTCTACACTCGAAAGAACCAGGACCGACATGGGTCTCGATTTGCTGGGGCACCCTGTCTCGACGATGGGCTTCACACGCGGCGTTTTCCTGGGCTGATGCGGCTGGGATGGCTGATGGGATTTGTGATTGGGTTTGTGGCCTGGTAGCCAGTGGGATGTGCGAACTGGGGATGGGTCCGGCCTTCGCAGCCTTCTTAGGGCAGTTTTTGCGAGGCAGGGTCTCACAACGGCGGCCGCCCCGAACATTTCTGGCGCTGGGCCTTTGGGCGCCCTTGGCAGGCGACAGGCCGGAACCTGCTCTGGCCGGCTGGGCAGCAGGTTGACTCAATCCAGAAAATAGGGAGGCCTTAATTTCTGGACCGCTTCTTTGGTCGGGCCGGGCGGCATTGGTCGCTGCCCTGCGATCTTGGGCCGAGAGCGCCAAAGGCGGCCAGTCGACGATGCGGCCTTTTGCGGGCCCCCTTCCAATTCTCCCTCGACAGCTTCCACCCCGGCCCCCGATGGTCCCCGTCGACGCGCGAATCGCAGGAAACCCGGTTTGGTCCAGTCTGGGCAACGCGCTCCAACACCAGTCGCCGACTTCCCTTACTACCATCAGCTCCTTCGCTCGTTTCTGTCAATGAATGGGGGTGGATATTAACACCGGGGCATGGACACTAACGTGGTTTTGACCCCCCAAGAAGGTGATGGATACTAATAAGGGGTGCCCACTAGTACCAGGTAAATACGGTGTGTGCTGCCAAATCTTACGGCCTTATGCCGCACAGCGAATATTCCAAGCCAACGGCCAGATCGCAACAGCGGACTCCAAGAACGGGCCTTTGCCCGCCAGGTTGTGAGACGGTCGCCCTTGAAAGAAGCAACCACCACACGCTGTGCGTGCCAATGTACGCAGTAAACTGAACGCAGGTACACTCTTTTGTTTTTTTTCTATACGACACATGGCAATGTACGACACTTGCTGCCTGCTGCTGCCTGCTACCTGCTGAACGCAGGTACACTCTTTTGTTTTTTTTTTCTATACGACACATGGCAATGTACGACACTTGCTGCCTGCTGTCACACAGTTCATCCACAAGGAGATATTGCAGTCAGCAAATTGGTAAGCCCTAGGTAGGAGGGAGTTGAGGTTGATGCATTGTAGGCAAAACAGCAAGACTGAGCTGTTCGAACCACGCATTGAGCACTGGCAGAAATCTGCCGTCTGTGCGGTCTCAAGCCGAGGTCGAGCATTGTTGAATTCATGAAAACCGTTCACAAACTGTTTAAACAGTGGTACAAAAATGCAGCAGCAAATCGAACAACCCCGAACGAATTTCGCTGTCATTTTTAATGATGTGAAGAGGGGTGGTGCCCAGCCTCGGCGATGGGCGCGAGGGCACCGTGATGACAACTACAGCCAAGGGGGAATTTGGGCGAAAAGATTTCCTTTGCAAGATATCGCGAGGCGATTCTAAGCGGAATAGAACGCTACTGCAGCACATTCAGCCCTTCTGCACATTAATGTAACGCTTGGCCTTTTCTGTGGAGAAAACAATAATACAAATAACGTTCTATCAATAAAATTTCGCGGAGCAACGTTGAGAAAATAATTCACTAAAAAAAATGCGGAGCAAAAAGCGTAACGGCAAAATTTTGCAATTTGGAAGGTTAAATATACTACGGTACACGCCGTTTGGCTCCTGCTTTCCCCCCTTCCGCTTTCGATCCATCTCTGCTCTTCGCAGTTTCCCACTGCTCCACCCTCTGAAACATCCCTTCTGCTGCCTCCTTGGATACTTCGCTTATAGAGTTCATACTGTGAAACATCACTGCCGTGTGCACCGCACTGTGAAGAGCGAACTGCGTAGTGAGCTGCACAGCCCTAACCTTGTCCCCCGTGTGCAATGATCGGCCGCTTGGTCGATTAGGAGCGCGACAGGCAACACCTTTGGAGGCCGGCCAACGCGGCGGGGGCGCCGCGAGGCTCCGTAGTCATCGGCACCCTTTTCCCCCATGACAAGGGAAGGAGAAAGTACAAGTGGATATTGTAGGGAACATCCACTGCTGGAATGACAGCAATTCCTAGAGACGCTCTTTCTGCTCAGGCAAAAATGGAGAGCCCACGGCCGCCTCCTTGCCTTGTTATGTAAAAATGAACGATGGCCACAGCGCCTCGTGGGTCACGGACACCCTTCCGCCATTACTTCGTTGCAAGCGACGGCCACATGCCGATGGGCCCCGCCGACGCCCAACGGCCTCCCTTCATCTCCAACAGCCTTCCCTTGTCTTCACAACAGCCTGCCGTCATCCCCAACCGCCAACGCCCCGCGCCTCACGAGGATTGGCATCCCGGGCCCCACCCTCGGGGAGAAGGGGCCCACCAGGCGACACACCAATGCACACAGGCGATCTGCTCCCTGATTTGGAGGCCTCCACTGGGCGATCCTCCCACGTCCTTATCCGCCAAACGTCATCGGGCCGTGAGGCCCCCCCTTGGCGAGAGGGCTCGCGTTGGCGGGCCCCCTGGTCCGCCACGGGGACACCAGCGGGCCGATGCCCTCGTGCTCACACCGCACCTCTCACACGCGCCGCCCCTTCACACCTTATCTCGCAACCGCCCCAATTGGCCCCCAGCAGTGGATGCGGGTGCTCGTACACAACGGGCTGCCCCCACGTCAGTACATTGGTGCGCAGCCGCTGCAATTCGGCAAATCCTGGGGGCTGCTGACTAAGCGCGTGTATTGGACACCCCAGTTACTTGTGGGGTTGACGCGCGCGGCAGCCGCCCTCCGCCCCGCAGATTTTGGGAGCGTCCAGCGGGTGGCGCGCGGCAGGCGTTGGCCGCTGGGCTGCCCGCCTGCAACACCCTCTGGCCCATGAATTGCGCGTAGCTTTAAGATTGCGCGCTGTGGAGGCGCCTGTGGATTCTGACGGCCGTGCTGCTGGGAGCCCTTCGCCGCAAGGGGAGCCCTACCCATGTGCCCATGTGCCCCGGTGGGCCCTCAACTCCGGTGAATTGATCCCGATCTGCCTTTCCGCCGCCCGGAGTGGGATGAATCATTGAGGGGACGGCCACCGCGGTGTGCGGGCAGAGCGCGGCTGCTGGTGATTCTCGCCGAGTGGCTCGATTTCGAACTCGTCGAAGGCGTCGAAGGGAGGCGGCATGGGATGCGGGGGGAGCAACCTGCGCTGCGGCTGCCCCGCCGGGCACTGCGCCCCCAAGTGGGATGGTGCCCTCCACGGCGCCCACGGTGACGATCGGCGAAATGTCGGCGGCGGTACGAGCATTGGGGACCCCGGGGGGTGCCCCAGCGACCCTCCAACGGAGCAGGAGGTGGAGGCGGCCGATGTGGGGGCCGATGGGGCGGAGAGGGGCAAGGGGGGGGAGGGGGAAGGAAGCGGTAGGCGGCGACGCCGCGGGAAGGCGAGGAAGGCCAAAAATGGCGCCCGGAATGGCTTCGGCGGCGTTCCCAGGCCGCTTGGCGACCCCGGCAGGAAGATCCGCCTTCCAAACAGGGCGGGGAGGCCGGAGATCGGGGGCTGGAGGGAGGCCGGGATGGCGATGAGCACCGACTCGGCGGCCAGCTTGGGCCCGACGGGGGTAGCGGGGCTGAGGGAGGGGTCGCCACCCGCGCTGGAGGCGAGGGCGGCGTCCCCGTCGTCCTGCGAGGCGTTCTACACGCCCACCAGCAGCTGGGGCGAGTGCAGCGCCTACGAGCGGCCGGGCGGGCACCGCGCCGCCTCGGCGTGTAGCGCGGGGTCGGCGGCCGACGGGGTGATCAGCGCCTCGGGGGGCGGGATGAGCGCCAAGAGCCCCTTCGAGCTGGCGGACCTGTCCGGGCTGGCTAAGGGAATGTGGCAGCTGTCGGATGAGGAGCTGTCGTGCAGGGTGTCGTCCAGAAGGAATGGCACCACGCCCAAGGCGCGGCGCACTGCCGGGCCGAGGCGAGAGGGCGGGGGAAAGACGCGCAGTAAGCGGAGCGGGGCGTCGGAGAAGGAATGGCTTGCCGCCGGGGCCGTGGAGGAGGCCATAACGGAGCTGAGGAGCTTCTCGGCGTCGGCCGGGCAGGTGCAGTCGATGGGCCAGGACCCTGGGATCGTGCGGTCGAAGTCGACGAACTTGTCGATGTGCCCGGAGAGGCGGGAGGAGCTGGAGAGGGGCCTGCAGACGCTTTTGTTCGGCCAGTCCGTGCCGCCTGAGGTCAGCCAGGCGGTGCGCGGCGGGCCCCCGGCGCGGGAGACCAGCACGCTGCAGCTGACCAACGACGAGACGGGCGCGGCGTGCATCAACCAGTACGTCATCGTGCGCAGCCTGGGGCAGGGCAGCCACGGGCGGGTGCGGGTGTGCCTGAACGCGCTGGACGGGAACCTGTATGCCGTGAAGACCATACACCGGGCGTTCGTGCCCAGCAAGCTGCAGCAGTGGGGCGCGGGGAGGAATCCCAAGAAGAGCCGGCACGAGTCCGTGGACGGAATCCTGAGGGAGTTGGCCGTGATGAAGAAGCTGGATCACCCGAATGTGGTCAAGCTGCACGAGGTGATCGACCCCAAGGGGAAGGAGAACATCGTGCTGATCACGGAGTTCATGGAGAAGGGCGCGCTGCTGAAGCGGCTGGACGGGGGCAAGAGCGGGTCCATCCTGTTCCAGCGGGTGCCAGAGGCGAACGTCAGGGAGGTGTTCAGGGCCGTGTGTGCTGGCCTGGACTACCTGCACTACCAGGGGATCGTCCATGGCGACCTGAAGCCTGACAACCTGCTGGTGGCGGCCAACGGGGACGTTAAGATCGCTGACTTCACGTGCTCCAGGATGGTCGCCCCAGAGCACTTCACCTCGGGGGTGTACGGCACACCGGCGTTCCACGCCCCTGAGGTGATCGCAGGGGACCAGTACAACCCTTATGCTGCGGACATCTGGGCCCTGGGCGTGTGCATCTACTGCGCGGTGTGTGGCGAGCTGCCCTTCACGGGGCCGGGCATCATGTCGATGTACAACAAGATCTTGGCGTGTGAGGTGACATACCCAGAGGACCTGGAACTCTCTGCCGACGTGAAGGACCTGATTTCAAAGATTTTTGTGCGGGATGCCCACGACAGGATCAGCATGGAAGACCTGATGCACCACCCATTCCTTGCCATTGAAGGTGTTCCCCAGCTGGTGAGCCTGCGGGAGAGGACCAACCCGCCCTCAGTGATCGAGGTGTCAGTCGTTGAGGAGGACGATGCCATCGACCGGGCATCCGCTGTGTCCTTCATCCGGGCCAAGCTGAAGAAGAAACGATACAAGCCGAATGACACCCTGTTCAAGCAGGGCAACCCTGCCACCTGCCTGTACTTTGTGCTGGACGGCACCGTGGCGCTGGTGCAAAAGTATGCGGAGCACGGGCTGGGCGATGTGACTGAGAGGAGCTGCTCAACCAGCCTGGTGCTGGACATGGACGAGTCGTTCATGATGTGTAAGTTTCCCTCAACCTGGGAGGAGACTGCAAAGGAGGGTGTGCTGCACCTGCAGAAGCACGAGGTGAAGGCACTGCAGAAGCGCCGGAGGGAGGCTTTCCTGAAGGGGGAGCAGTACGAGCATTCGGTGGGCGTGCGTGGCCCTGGGCAGGTGTGTGCAGCCACTGCTAACACATGTCAAAAGTTCCCCTGTGTTTGCTTGCACCCTGGAAGGCGACGACAGGTAAAGGCCCTTGCCATTGAGCTGAGTGGTTCTTCTAGTGCTGCACAAAAGAGCAACACAAGTTGAAGCTATGCAACACATCGTTGACGAATCAGTGTGTTGAACAGAGCGATCTGTGCATCTCCCTTGATGATGGCAGGCCACAGCCCAATACCTGCAGCCCTTAGAATGCGATCCACTTTGGAATCCATCCATGAAACCAGAAATGCTGTGTTGGCTTTATTGGCGTGCTGCTGAGTTGTGTTTCCAACTGGCGCAGGTTGTGGGTGCAATGGAGCCTGGATCGGCTCCCACCCACCCATACTCAGCCGTGGCACAGACGACTGTCACAGTGCTCAAGCTGACAGAGGAGGACCTGCAGAATGCCTTCAAGAAGGAGAGCGCCAGGAACTTGGCCAAGATGGCATCCGACCACTCTGCGCTGGGCACCCGCACTCCCACACCTGAAGGGACGGAGTCTGGGACAGGCACCGTTGCCAATGGCGCCACGGCCACGTCTTCGCATGACCTTGTGGACCACTCGACATCGCGCGAGCTTGCGGGCCACTCCACGTCGAGTCACATCTAGTTGTGCGGGGTTGGTTGGATGGGCGACGGGCAATTTTTGTTAGGCAAGGCAGGGCCCGATTCGCGCCCGCACTTGAGAGCAAGATCTTTTATTTTCGGACAGGCGAATAAGCATAACAAAAGGTTGCGGGGGATATGCAGGGTTGCTTCCGCCATTTCCTTGTACAACAAGCGGATCTTATGGTCCATGGGATTGTGATGAGCGGCGACAGGCGACGGGTGGCGGTTCGCAAGGACAGGGTCCCATAGGTCCGTCAGGCTGGCTCTGTTAGAGCGCCCACCCGGGGAGGTGGAATACTATACTGGAAAGGAAACAAGCACGCGTCACAGCTGGGACGACTATCTGATGTCCATCCAGTGCAACTGATCGTTGGTTGACTGCTGTGCTCCCTTTCCAACCGCTACTTATTTGGGACTGTGTTTTTTGAGATTTATGGTGCTTCTTAGGGACTGCAGTTCGACAGCTGGGCCGCAGGCGGGAAGGCCCCAGGGCCCAGGCTGCTCGGCGGCGGTTTGGGGTGTTGTCCGCATTGAGAAAGTCCTGGTTGAATGATCTGCGTCGAGGCGCTATGGCCCCTTGGCGAGAAAGACTGGTGATCTCTCTGGGAAATACTGTGAGGCAACGAGGCGCGGCGACCGCTTGGGTGGGGCCGGGCACCCGCCCAACGGAGGGGTTGGCGTGGGGAAATGAGACGAGTGCCACTTGGGATTGGTATCATTCGTTCAAATGTAAATGCAGCAGCTTCTTCTGTACCGTTCAGCGGGGAGGGCTCTCGCTCCTGCCTTGGAGGCCACCTGCCAGGGTCGGTGATTCCGTGCTGGATAAATCGGCAGCTGCTGCCCAGATCCAATGCGCTGATCAACGCGCCTCCTTTTGCATATGTACTTGCTACGCCGAAAGGGCATACAGTATTGACTTCATTGAGGAAACGACCCCTGACTATGGTGTCGTTTCCCACGTTGTCTGTAAGGCAGCATTCCTTTCATTCTCCAACATTGATTCCACACGTCCGATTGTGGCGTGCGCGAATTGTTGACGCTCGCATTCTATAATCATATTTCCCAAGTCTAGGTGCACCTTCCCCATGCAATCAAGATACGAGACGCCGAATTTTGGTTTTTCTTGCCTCTGTCAATCAGACCGTAGCACACTCCAATTGATCCGCAACTTGTGTCACTTTCCTCAAGGCAGCGTCGTACTTTACTCAACACTGCAATTTGTGGGCATTGTGTTGTGTGCATTTGGATGTTGTTGCTTTGCTATATGCTTCAATGTAGCATCACAGCAATACTATCACAAGAGGCCAGTGCCGCTCATACTCCAACAGAAGGAATGCACGCGCTGCGCCACTTCACATGAACAGGCAAGGCGACACAAAACAAGAAGGTTGATCACACGAGATCAAAAGCACAGACTCAATAAAAAGGAAATTCGACCATGTGGAGCACCGCTGGTAGGTCAAAACTTGATCCCAGTTATTATTGTTGATTTGTTGCTGCTCCTAATCGCCACCACTGGTGTTCCAATAATGCTTCAGCTCCAAGACGGTAGCCCCCTCCCACAATAGCTCATGGCACCATGGCTGCACATATCCAGTCAACTGCACGCGTGAGAAAGCCTCAAGAGATGGACCCTACGAGGAAAGTCTGAAATGAGAGAAACAAATGTCCCAGCAATCAATAGCAGCACACCAATGCTCATGCACGTGGCTCCAGCCCCACCCACAACACAACGCCGCCCAATGCCTATCATCCAAACCCCGTGGTGAACCAAGCACCACAGCCGGAAGCATGTGGGCATCTATGCACCAGCTAATTGCCGCCCAAGCCTGGAGCTCAGTTTCCAAGATGCCAAAGCAACTTAAACAGAAAGCATAAGGAGGATGGACACCTGTTCTGTGGGCGAGGGCCAGAAGTTTGATGCCATGGACTGACAGGGTGCCAGGGGCCTTGGCCCCAAAGGAATTTGAATACAATTTGAAAACTGCATAAAGCAGATGTCACATCTATGTCGTGTGGTGTGCTCATTGTCTCCGAACTCCAGCAGCCGAACCACTTTAAGCACTACAACAATTGAAGGTGCCAGCAATTGCTGCCTGCCCACGACCTGCCTCAGCCCAATGCGCACATGCGTGTCGTTGTTCTCTGACTGCTTTGTATGCAGATCTTTCACTGCCATCAAATGTGACTTTGGGCCTCAGGATGTGCTTCCTGTTGTCAGCATTCTTGTTGTGTTTCTCAGGCTCAGTGCAGGAACACATTTTCTTTTGTGCAGTCGCTGGACCAGCGGTTCCTAGCTGTGCGCCTGTTTTGGGCACATACTTCAGTGGGGAACACACAATACTTGTTGGACACCGCTGCGCCTCTCATCACCTCCCAAGGTGCAAGGGCCTGGATTGGTCACGTGCTTTGAAGAAGTGCTGTCCATAGGAGTAGGTTTGTGTGCCTGCTTGTGTGGAGGCAAGACAAACCACCAATCTGCACGCGTGTGTGTACAGTTGTGCATCACAAACCGCGAGTCTCCACCATACAAGAACACCCCACCTTCCAGGAATGCGTTGGGCTGAGCAGCACCGAATATGCACCCCCATGTATTTTCGAAACCCAAAAGTCGCCGTTTCGCATTTCCGTTTGGGGCATAGAATGTGCTCCATACCGGTGCACGCGCCGCAGGACTCACGCCTCTAAGAAAGTTGCTCTTTCGTACATTGCAGAAATACACGAATGGAGCTTGGTGCACACCCCTTGTAAAACCAGCCAGGGCGACCAGCCTCGCTGGTAGGCGGCCCCTGATTGCCGAAACGACCTCCACCACAAGCTGGGAACCTCCTTGAACGCTCCTTGAGTTGCGTTGCTCTCGGCGAGAACGGGCATGCAGTTGACCGGTTCTTTGCTTCGCTCCCCGTCGTCCAGAGCTGGGTGCGCCGGTGACAGTTCGGGTGCCTGTGTGACCTCCGGTGAGAACCCGGAGCGCCGCTGTGCCTTTCGCGGCCCAATGAGCGCGTTGACTTTCCGTTGTTCCTGGCCGCTTTGGCAACATCTCCCACTAAGGACAACCAACATTCTCGCAGGACCCTCTGCTGCTTGACGCGTTGGAAGCAGGCCCTGCCACGGGCAGCCCCTTCGCGGGCAATCTTAGCCTAAAGTCGGTACACTGGCCCCGCAGCTCCGGAACTGCATGGGCGGTTATATGTTCGTTGTGTCCGTGCCCGCGCAGCGCAATCGACCCAGGGGCACCAAAAAACTGCACACGGGCGAATCCCAGCCGACGGCAAGAAAGGAAACCATGTCTGTCTGCAGGCCCCAGCCCCCCTGCACACCCACGCACCCACGCATCCACACGTCCGGCCAAGAAATCGCTGGCGACCGTGTCCCCGCCGCGCTGGCCCAAAAGCCTCAACGTTCAAAAGCACTCATCGCAAAGAGGGCGCCCGGAAAGTACGCAGGCAAATCACTGCTGGACGCGCTCCGCATCTTGCATCACTGCCGGCCCCGCCAGAGCCGCTGATACTAGGCTGGAGTCCACCAGGCCGCTTCCCAGTTTGGCACGGGCCGTCGCGCGCTCGCATGGCTGTGGTGCGGAAGCGATACAAACCGCGACCAAGCGGCAAGACGGGCACGGGGTACTGGCGGAGGGTACTTGGAGTACGGAGACGGCCTACGGGGTTGCTGTACAATCAGTCTATGTGGGCACTGTCGTCACCTCCGCCACTTCGGAAGAACAGAGCCAACACCCCCTGTGTGACCCGGAGCGTGCAACTGTGGCGCCGGCGGTACACGGCGTACCGAGGGTAGCGAACGGGCCCTTGGACTACACACTGTGATAGGTCTCTGCCTGGTTGGCCATTAGCGAAGCGGTTCCGGTGAAGGCGGTCTGGGAACGAGCTGTAGGCAACAGAGTTATTTACAAATCCCAGCACAGCGACGTCCCTTCATGGCCAGGCCATCCGTTCAGTCCATGTATCATGATTATGTCACATAAACGGGGGGGGCACCTCCATGCATGAATGCCATCCACTAATGCTTGAACGGGTGGCAGGTGTGGTGACCGGTGTGTAGTAAAGCCGCAGCGACCTCGAGGTCGCCCTGGTGATGCCCTCGTGGTCAAGGCCAGCGAGCTCGTGGCTTTCCATATTGTCTCAGCCATGCGTTCATCTCTTCAGTGTCCAAACGGACGTATCCTGAAGCGCACAGAATTTTTGAAAAAGTCGTTTTCTGTTTGAATTTGTCCTTCGCTGCAATCGAGGGATGATTGTGGCCGGCACATGCGACGCTGCATGAAATGCCGCACAGCGTTTCTCATTTTAGTAAAATAGCACGTTATTCGTGTCATGTTCTTCGTGTCAATGCGTCCCAAATTGATATGAAACACGGCCGTGCGTTATCGCCCCAACCACAACCAGCCCCGTGCATTACATCACCTCAGTTAAATCGTCTAATCCAACCACTTCCCTTCTTTTTTGGAGAGTTTGAGAGGGGGGGATTTGGTCACGGGTAACGTATTAGATACTGAAAGCAACGTTGCTTTCACTGGCCAAAACTGCATCAATAGCTTTCGAGCTTCAGAACAACGATTTGAAATACGATTTGGTCTCTCCGGCTCATGACTTAAGGGTGGACATTGTTTGCAGAACAACGATTTGGAGCCGTGTATCAACGGTGGACTACCAACGAATGATTGATCGGCAAATGTTAGTCTGAATTTAGTGTCCAGCGAAGCGCTGAACAAGCACGAACAGACACTTGCGTGAAATGGTCAGTCTTTTGCGCCAGAGTACACAAATATGTTTTGGGCCCTTGACCGGCGCTGGCTGCGAGTGGCAGAAGCTTTCCACCAGTCGTCATCCGTTTAAACGACAAGAAGTCTTGCAAGTGCTTGTGTTGGTATTTTGCTTTCATTCTGCATTAGGCACGTCTCACTCAATACACGCCAAGCACTTGTTGTCCATCCACCCGCTGTGGACGTCAGCTTATAAAGCTTGTGCAATTTGTGAGACTACA